TCAGACATTTCTTAAAGAGAAACTTTGGTTTTATGGAAATATTTGCTATTGGTTATTGTTAAGTGCAGAAAATAACTAGAATGCGCCCATTATTTATAGGTAAGATATCACATAAAACGTAGTATTATACAACGCTTTACATATTAAAGTTTTTCTGAAACGAAACAGCTTTTTCGCAGTCGTTTCAGCTATTTTCAAAACGACAAGACAACTGATAAAACGTAGTATTGTACCACGCTTTACATATTAAAGTTTTTCTGCAACGAAACAACTTTTTCGCAGTCATTTCAGCTATTTTCAGAACGACAAGATAACTGATAAAATGTAGTATTGTACCACGCTTTACATATTAAAGTTTTTTTTTAATATGTAATTTTTTTATTTCACAATCTTAGTCTTCTTTACTAACACCAATAAGTTTAATATTTGAACAACCATATCAAAAGGTCATGTTAAAAAATAAGATGTAACAAGATTGTGGAACATAATTTTATTTGATAGATATTGCAACATACACAAGTATAGACACGTATTACAAATAACAAAATGAAAACAAAAGACTAGGGGTATCATTGATAGTTGGGTACATTCGACGAACTTGCACCAGTAACTGGATTACCACCGCCAAGCATACCACCTGAAGGATATTTACGATGGTCATGTCCTATTTGCGAGCATATGCCACATTTACGGGCATAGACGGTGTCACCAACATCCATTAGGTTCCGTATACGCGTTCTCTTTTGCACTTGCAGCTTGCGCAAATAGTCCTTGTTACACACCATCTTAAAAGGTTCCGGCGGCCAATAATGCTCAGCACCTAATGGTTGCAACTGCCCACTATACGTGTCTACGTATACAACAACACTGTATTGCCTATCGATATAGTTGGTTGCCCCAAAACCAACTTGTTGAAAGCACTTCAAGGCATGTGCGCACGGCATGTGGTAGATGGTTCATTTCCCACATGAACGCAACCTTATGGCTTCATTCACCATCTGTAGATTATTCCCACGGTATCCGCAGATAGCGGTCTTAACTTCAAAAACACCCCGGTCGTGATCGTACTGTAAAAATAAATGCCAATGTGCTTGCCTCCTGTACCTTTCAAATCTTCTCATGGGTATTGGCATAAATTGAACACATTTGTCCATCAATGTTGACGCATCTCCATGCCTTTCAACTAACGTCTCCGCACTCTGTTTGAATGTCATGCGGACCATGGCAGTGACAGGCAATCTACGGGCAGACTTCAACAAGCCGTTCAACGACTCCGACACATTTGTAGTCAGGGCTCCCCATCGTCTGCCGCCATCAGCATGTAATGTCCACATGTGAAGCTCATGTCCCATCAACCAAGTATAGGCTCGTGGATCTAACTGCCAGATCGTTTCCATGCGCCTCATGAATTTGCACTGCTGGTGCTCAGTTGCAGCCATCCATATTAAGTCATGCAAGGCCTTGTCAGGATATTTCTTCTGGAAATTGGCCTTCAGGTGCCTCACACAGTAACAGTGGTATGCATAGGGTTCCTGCCATTCAGGCAAGTGCCGTACAGAACTTAAAATACCACCATGTCGATCAGATATTAGACATGTACCTGGGCAGAGATGAAAAAGATTTATCCCAATCGCCATAAATAAGTTCAAAGGCACGTTTGCGACCGAGATATGCCTTTATTTTAGTTATAGTACAACCATACTCCCGGTGTACGACTGTAATATACTCTTTAATCTTGAACCTAATGGACATTTCCAAATATGGAATCAAGACTAGAGAAATCAAGTCCACATCCAGGTTGAAGTGATTCTCATTGAATGTGTCCATTTCACATCTGTGGGTGCTAATAAATTTATCCACTTTCCACAAACCTGATTTTTTCTTGCTGGCACGCAACATCCAGTGACAACCCGTAAAGTCTCTACGGCATACAACCTTGTATACCTCCGTAGTTGACTCACTTACCGTCATCTCACGACACTCTCTTACACTGTAGATTTTTACAGCCCTAATTAGGCGAGCTTTATCGGGGAAATACATGCCCTTTGCCAGCATCGCTGGTCTAGACTCATCCCACATCGCTGATCAAATTTCGTCATCATCCCTTGTAAGGGCATCCACGTCCGGCATACTTGGCAAATTATCAAGGTAGGGAATATTCCGCTAATGAAATGGCACGTGGGACTCGTACACTCTTAGTCTAGCAGGAGGAGGAGGAGCATGCTCCCTCGTCAGCTCAGGTTCGGCATCCACTTCCTCCTCGTCATCACCCTAATCAGGGAAGGGTGTGTCATCTCCAGACTCATCCGCATTGTTGTCATAATCACTATCATCTTCCTAACTCTGCGCATCTGCCAAATCACGAGTCAGTACGTCATCTATGGGCAGCTGTGTGAGGTCAGGAACATCAAGATGCTCGTTTTCACTGCACAAAAAGAATAAAATGATAAGCTACCCAAGTAGATAAATACTTTACATATAGTTATATCACTTTACTTACAAGTCGTACTGTCTTGACGTTTCATGATGTATATTTTCTTGTTGGTGATGACTCCCGGATGGACCACCGTGGTCTAATACGCCAGAACTACGCATATTCCAACTAAGGGCGGGGTCATAACTTGTAAAATTCATATCCGGATGGTACCCCCTATGAAAATATGAGTGTTAATACAAATCCAATTAAAATATAAAATAAACATCGCTAAATCGTAAAAAAATTGAAGTTTACCAGTCGTCTTGTGGATTATATAAAGTCGAAAAATTATTTTGTGATTGCTCATTCGCCGGTGGTGACAAGTTTAAATCAAGGCAAGCTCTTTCATCAGCAATCTGTCCGGCAAAAACTGCTCCAAAATAACCACCCGATGACTGGAGGTTATCCCTACTATGCATGCCCTCATTATTGGGAACATCTTCAACTTTGACGTACATTTCCAATAATTTTATTATAATAAATTCCCTGTATTCATCCGGAATCCGCAAAAAATCTCTAAGAGTTTCATCATCTTCGATGTTAAACTCAAAATAATAAGCAAACCCCTGCGGAGTCACTGAATAAGGAAATCTACCGGTTACTTTAAGTTAACCGAACGTTTCCTCACACTTATTTTTTTACGTAACAACGATACCTATTTATCGTACTGCATTGTAAGCGGCAATTTAACATTACACTGTGGAGGTGAGCTATACCTCACAAAGTTATTCTCCAGCACAACCTCACCCCCCAATATAATGAAACCCTTATTTTTGGCTCTTCAGACATTATAAAAAAATGATTGATAAGAAGAAGAGAGAAGTATGAACGGAAGTTTGAAGGAAAGTTTTGAATGGATTTTCATAAAATTCAAACGCCTTTAAATAAGACAAGTCCGAGCTTGGGGTATAGAATTTTTTATGTAAAACGCAGTATAATACCACGTTTTATGTATTTGAATTATTGTTATGTCAGTTATTCGCAGAACACTTATTGGTGGGCCCAAAAATTAGTGTAAAACGCAGTATAATAATACGTTTCAGTATAAAACGCAGAATTATACTACGTTTTACACTAAAAAACAAATATTCTCTACAGTCCTGCAGAAGTTTATTAAGGTGGGCCCAATTTTTATTATAGGGAACCGCAGTACAATACTACGTTTAAGGAAAACACAGTATTGTAATGCGTTTTCCTATAAAAAAATTAATTTTTTAATAAAACGCAGTATTGAGTTTAACTTTAATAGCTAACTTTCCGTTAAATTAAAATGCAGTATTATACTGCATTTTATGTAGAAATGTAACTTTTTTTAAACAGTGGAAACGTATTTTGTGCCAAAAATGGCATTATTTTAGTTTCGGACTCAGTCCAGAAAAGCATCATTCAACCAAATAATCCTTTGAGAATCTCTTCTATACAGATTAAATGAGGGATCACAAAACACTTGTAAGAATAAATTGTGGTTGTTGTCACCACCGGAGCACTCGTCTCTTTAATTTTATATTTATTTTAGTTCACAAAATTAATCTCGCGTGGCTGTCAAAACAAGTTAGTGGAATTAAAAACAATTTCGTTCAACTTTAACGGGTTGAACACGTTCAATTAATTTCGTTATTCAGTATTCGAAACGAACATCAGTTCATATGTATAAACTCAAGATTAAACAATGATCTTAATCTCAAACTATGGTGGCTCTGATACCAACTGTTAGATTATTAAATCGCAGCCATAGCAGAGGTTAAGATACAATTATATAGATATAGAATCATAATCTTGATTTAGAGTCTAAGGAAGCGTACCATTAAACTCCATATATTCAGCAGCGGCAGTAAACGGCGATTAAACCTGAGACCAACTTCCACAATCCACTAGTTACGTGCTCTCACAACCCGGAGAACTTGACTAATAGGACGTCTACCGTTACCACGTATTCAAGAGGCAGAATACGCTAGGGTTTTTCTAATAGCTAGGGAAAGGGGATTGGCCTCTCTTTATAAAGAGTGTCTACTCATCACAGAGCAATAGTTATTGAGCCTCACTTATCTACACACAATATTTAATATTAGACCTTCTATTTATCCACCACTTGGACCACGTCACTATCCTTTCAGGATATAACCAATTAACGTAAGTCCAAATTCCAACACCTTGTTTAATCGCCTTTCCTTTAGTCTCGATTCACTTTGCTCCAGCTCAACGCTTGGCCGTGTCCAATCCCGAGCGCACCATTCGTCTTCCCCGGGCTCTGATCCATGGAAGCCCTCGGCTTTACTCGAGGCCGTATCAAATCTTGTTGTTCTCTCGTGTCTTTACCGAAAAATCGAAGGTAACTTTATCTCGATTTTACCCGCACACAATTAGCATCATTTGGTGGTAGAAAAGGGATTAAACAAAGGTAGGTTGTTACTTTGACAAACAAATTTCTCTCGTAATCAAATTTATTTTTTATGACAGATAGAACTCAAAGAATTAAAAAAGTTAAAATTAAAAGTATACCTGTCCTTTGGACAAGTCTACCCCTTATTTTGTGGAAGCTTGTCGCTGACTTGCTGTAAGCTCTCTACTACTAGTCTTTCAGCCCGCCAGCAAAATACCCATGTTACTCTTCTTCGTTGCTTCTACTGCCAATCCTTGGGTCCCACCCCTACCTTTTTCTTCTTCTTCTTCTCCTCCGCCTCCAAATCAATAGTAGTTCAGAAGCTTAAAAGAATGGACCCGAAGTTCGCCGGAAAGCCCATTCAGGCCCAATTCCTTTCAGGTCAAACTGACCTTGACCAGATGCAGGATACTCCGACCCGTGGGTCACGTCATCGCAGGGCCCAATCCGAAACCTTTTTCCGGTTTCCAAACTTCGACGATGACATCCTCTTAGACGACGTCGTTACAGACTTCAACCTCGATGTTCAGGCGCCGTCCCTCATGCAGCAGCAGCAGCCTGCAAATTCGGCTGATTCTTCGTCAACTGGGCCGGCGTTATCAGCTGGGCCTTCCGATAATAACCCTAAGCCGCTGGCCCACTACCGTAGTCTCTCTGTGGATGCTGATTTTTTCGATGGACTGGACTTTGGTGCTGCGGCGGCGGAGAATAAGATGATGGGTGGTGGCCCACGTCATAGGCATAGCAATTCCATGGATGGGTCTTTTGATTTTGAGTCTGAATCGCTTTCTGTGAAGAAGGCTATGGCTCCTGATAAGCTTGCTGAGCTGTCCCTGATTGATCCCAAGAGAGCCAAAAGGTTACATCTTCTTTTACTTTTTGTCCTCTTTTTGGACGTTTAATCCAGTGTTAGAATTTTAGGTTGTAATTTATTTGTTTTTTGCCATTTTTGGTCTAGGCTTGAAGTTGGAATCATGTTGGGCTTAATTTTTTTCTTTCCAGAAGCGATGAAGGAAAAATGTGTTCTGAAACCTTTAATTGGGTTAGTTAAATTCGTTATGAAATGGTTTATGGTGAGAAAATGGTGAAAAGTAGACGGTAGTTGCAGTTCTTGGTTTTTAAGTTATTTGTTGTTTCTTTGGAGTGCCTAAGTAGCATAACTTCAGCTGTCAATAAAGACTTTTACTTGCTATGATTCATGAAGTAGATGGTAGTTGCAGTTCTTGGGTTTTGGCTTTCTTTCTCATCTGCATATTAGAAGAAAAAAACAAACTAGTTGATTGCAGTCTAACTAGTAGCCCCCTAACAGAGAAGTCAAGCTACAGTGTTGAGGAAGAGATGCTATTGCACCTTTCATGGTGATACCGCTTCATATCGAGCCAAATAGAAGGAGGCTGTAATGTTTTAAGCTGCTGAATGTTTAGAGAATGAAGATTAAACTTGGAATTGATTAAGTACAAAGCATCTTTTTCAACTTTTGGAATTTGAAAGTTTTCTTACAAAAGGACATAATTGCATTGTTTCTTTATTAGATCTCATGGCAGCATTTACTTTTGGTCTTCTCTTTTCTTTTCTCAAAATAATAGTATGCTTTTGTTTGATAAGAACTCTAAAACCAAATTGCAAGTTTCAGCTTTTAAATAGAGCTATTTTTTCGTGCAATTTTACAGGATTCTAGCAAATAGACAATCTGCTGCACGTTCTAAGGAGCGAAAAACTCGTTATACTGGTGAGCTAGAGAGGAAAGTGCAGACTCTGCAGACTGAAGCCACCACTCTATCTGCACAGATCACAGTTCTTCAGGTCTGAAATTTTTTCAGAA